AAATTATTCCCATTTCGTTGCGATTCAAGATGGCGGCCTCCGTCGACGTTTAACCTCCGCGGCGGAGGACTGAAAAATGGATGATCTGTGAGGAGCCGACAATTACTATGCAAACCACAGGGCGTAATTCTCTTCCGGAAAAATGTCAGTTTTTCCAGCGTAACCGTCGGAAAATCGGTTTTGCGTTAATACATGACTGCTAGCTTACATCAGCGAATTCGAATCGCTGCGTGATATGTGAAGTACGCCTCTCGGTATTTACGACGGGAGTTCGCGCCGATCGATAACATCTCCGAATCGAACAAATTTTCCGATATATTAATACCTTTGCCGCGTTCAAATGACGCAGCGAATTTCCCGTGTGCGTCGCTGACGGGATTTTTCGCGGATTTGAATCCCAAGAGCGAGTCCATCCGCGTTGCATAGAGACGCGTACAACGCGCCTCCCCTTCGTTTTTTCTTTTTTCCTCTCTCTCCCTCTCTCTCTCTCTCTTCGGCTTTCTTTCGCTCTCTTTTCTCCGCGGGCGCGATTCTTCCCTTTCTAATTAGACTCGTCAATGGCGTCGTCCTGTACTTCCTATTTCCCACGCGCTCGCTCTCGATTGCTCTCGATTCTCGAAGCGGTCGTCTCGAGTGGCCGCCATCTTGATTTTCCTCGACTTTTTTGGCGCCACCCTCGAATCTTCTCCCTCGCACAATCCAAACCGCGTTCGCTTTGAATTTCGCCTCTTTCTCCTCCCTTTGTCTTACAGGAGCACTCTGACATTAAATTATCAACTTTTTCTTCTAGCCATCGGCATCTCTATCGAGATCCGCCATTTTTCGGTTGCGTATTCCTGCAAAGGGGCGACTCGTATCCCGTGTAAAACGTATCAATGAAAGTATCGTCTAATTCTTCTCTTACAAATAATAGATCCTTTACCGTAAGATCGTTGCACCCGCCTTTTCGCCGTTCAGAGTAAATATATGGTCTTCTACGGAAAGATGGCCGCCATCTTGAGATTCCTCGACCCTTTCGGCGCGTCCCTTCAAATAATGACCATTTGCCAATTTATTACACATATTAATATAACGGTGCAAGTAGCAATATTTTTCTACGTCCTTCCCTGTCCTCGATGTCGCTCTCCATTTTCACCCGAGAATCCATCATGGCGTCCGTCAAGCTAGCGGCCGCCATTTTGATCTTCCTCAACCCTTTTGGCGCGCGCCGCCATTATCTCCCTCTCTTTTTCATCCGGCACCCACGAGCTACGCTTGCCAGAAATATCAATTCCCGAGCGAGATAAAGCCACGCCGAGGAGCGGGCGACAGAGCGAGAGGGAACGAGCGAGTGAGTGGCAACAGTTTGCTTGATTTGGCACGGCTGAGGTTACGTTCGAAATAAATCTCCGCGGCAGGGACGTGGCACGGTGAGCCAGTTAAACGATCATCGACTCCACCTCCGGGCCTATCCTCGCTCCGCGATTTCGCCGCCATTGAGAAAGTATCCGAGTAACTCACTTATATCTAAGGATAGGACAGGTTCGACGCGCGCGCCGCCTTATCGGCCGGCGATCTTATCGATCGCGGATTATCTTCCCGCCGTCGGATAATTCCGGGATTCGGCGCGCGACTCTACCTCCCGATATCATTCCGTGTTCTCCTCGTGCCCTTACAATGTACACGCAGAATAAGAATTAAGCCATAATAAGAAATTTCACTTGCCTGGGTTCGGGTGTCCTTCCGTAATCGAGGAACTTCGAAATGGAACCGCGCGATGACGTCATCAGTCTGGCGCGAGATTCAAACCTTTGAAATCTACCGCTTGGCTTCGCTTACGTGTATTTTGGCTCGATCGCTGTTTCATGAGTCAATTATGTTCGATCATCTCACAGCTTCTAGGAACACTCCTAGGAGCAGGTCAGCCCTAAATAAAGTAACACCTTTGGAAGTTACTTTCGGGAACTTGGTAATCCAATTTTTAACAGCCCCGAATGATCTATTAATAAACGACGCTTCGCCGGAGAATTATTCTTTTCCCCCGTGTAATTTCCACATTAATGCAGTATTAAAACTTCATCGCGAGTCTGATATTCAGCGCCCATCGAGTTTTCTTCCTGAAACGACGTTTCTTTGCCGCTGGCTTCCCGTTCCTACCTGGATAAAATATCACTCTAATTATTTACAAATTTCCTCCTACCCGCGGCAAAGATTACCTTACCAACCGCGACAAACTACGGAATTCATTATTCAAGACGATACAAGAAAAATCCATCCTTTACCAGCTATGTCATCCCTGTGCAATAATTATGATACATTTGTAATACTGGTATCATTAATTGTTCATTTAAATTCTCGTTTTATACATTGGTTATTTCAATGCCACAATGAATTACAGTGAAATTGCATTGCCTCTGTAACATCACATTCAGCATCTAGATGAAGTGCATGAAAATTATAATGTAACATTACGTTTAATTCAAGTAGAAACGCACTGATACGGTAAATATACAATGTTATGGGTTTCTAGGCCGTAATTTCTCCATTTTACGTATTTCTACGTTAAACTTCGGTAATGAGGTATGTACAAATGTATGTAAATTTCTGTCGGTTTTTATCAGTGCATCCGAAACTCTTTTCTTGGGTGAGGATTCGCGGGTTCCCGCAAATCAGTTTGAAATTTAGCTCCTCATTCAAGACCTGGAGAAGGAGAGGGATCTTTTGGAGGTAAAGGAGATCGTCAATGGCGTTACGATCTCCAATGTTGTTGCGTAGTTCGTTGAGCAGCTCGTAAAGTTTAAGGCCCGTCGACACGCCTTGCGTGCGTTAAGAATGGCTAATCGCCGTTAAATTGTTATCGACGTATCAGGCTCCTCTAACGAGGACGCGCCAGTACCATTACACGTAAACGAAGGGTACTTGAATTTATGATAAGCTCAGAAGATGTACCAACATATCGCATCACGCCTTGCCGTCTCTTTTTCCCTGTAAGATCGTTGGAATTATTTTAATCTCATTGCTGTAATACCAAAAAAAAAAAAAAGAAAGCACCGTAACGTCTGTCACCCAATTTATTCTAATATATTAATATATCTTGTAAATGACGTGCGACTCCTTTATTTATTTCCCACGTTTATCACTGTCGTGACCAACAACAACACTATTAATAGGCTGTTCAACAAGCCTCGCGTGAGTTAAGGTCGGCTAATCGTTGTTAAACTATTATCGTCCTATCAGATCTCTCTCTCTTTTTTATTTTTTATTTTTTTTTTTAAATAAGGACAAGCTACACGGAAACCGAGTCTGCCTACATTTACGATACGTCGTAAAGATATATCATGAATTAAAACCCATACAACGTAAATATTCAATATCGTTGGAGATTAATTTAACGCCTGTTGTTTAAAAAAAAGCATTCCGCACGAACCTCCCACACGAAGACCTTGTTCGCTGGGTTTTGGGGGCGTTAAGTTAATAAAAGTAATTGTTACGAATGGGTCGCATTTACTGGTCTCGATGGAACTGTAACGAGGATTTCCGCCGGTGCCGGCAACACGTGTACAGGTGTAATTGTACTAATTGTTCATGACTCGTACACGTGGTTCGGCTACACGCTTCAATGAGCTACACGCTTGTTTGCCGTCGATGTATTTCCTCGATCGCGGATACAATTTATTGACGTCTGTTTTGCAGAGTTTTTCCTCCCTTTTTATTTCGAATCTTTAAGTGGATTTGTAATAACCGAGGAGTGCAATTACGATCGCGGTACAATTTCGCACGGGTAGAGCATTTCACTAGATTCTCTTCGCGATCGAAATTTCCCACCTGAAATAGCCTGCCGGTACGTGCGCCTAGAACTATTGAATTTTAAACCACTTCACACCCTCCATTTAATTACTTTCATCTTTTATTTTTTTTTGGGGGGAGGGGAAATTTTTTACGTCCGAAAAATCCGTAATAATTCCTGCGACCTACATACGGTTCATGATCGTGGATTAAATATTTTATTCGGAAAGGTCCTAAAAATACTGGGAAATCGAGAATCTCAAACTGCCTTTTGGATCCATGCGTACCGAATTTTGCATAATTTGTAATTGCTTAATTTTATTAAATTCTACGTATCTAGAAAATCTGAAATAATTAATCCAAGCTCCACAGGCTTTGGGTAAACGAATTGAATTTTTCTCAGGGCAGGATCCAAAGTGAACAGACAGGATTTGAAATGATGAATGTCGAACCGTAGTTCAACTCCACGCGCTTAATAATTAATTTGTTGGAAGCAATTCTACACTCCTAAAAATCTGAAATAATTAATCCAAGCTCCCCAGGCTTTAGGTAAACGAATTGAATTTTTCTCAGGGCAGGATCCAAAGTGAACAAACAGGATTTGAAATTATGAATGTCGAACCGCAGTTCAACTCCACGCGCTTAATAATTAATTTGTTGAAAGGAATTCTACATTCCTAAAAATCTGAAATAATTAATCCAAGCTCCCCAGGCTTTGGGTAAACGAACTGAATTTTTCTCAGAGCAGGATCCAAAGTGAACAGACAGGATTTGAAATCCTTCGGCACCCTCGAGAGAGGCGCGCCCTCGAAGGCGCGGCGAAGGATGGCGCGCTCGCGGCCGCGTCGCGGGAAAACAATAAGGCTCGGGAAAGATGCATAATTGAATAAAACCCGGTGAATAGAGCCCGAGGGGTAGTTTAGTCGTGGGCGGATGGAAAACTCGGAGAAGAGAGACCGGGGTGGAATGCTATAATTTCGAGCGGGACAGCCATGCGTTATTCAGCGCCGAGTACAGCACTCCAGCCCTCTTCGTCCTTCGCGGCCCTCCGACCCTCGAGACGAATCGGCAGGATGTTGCTGTTATCGTCATTACTGTTATCGTCATTGTCCCCGTAGGCGGCGTTATTATCGTCATTATATTCTCGTAATCGATGCGCACGAGAGGAGCCCCTCCCGCCCGGGAGCGATAATCGCCCGATAATAATTCCTCCTATGTTCTCTCCAATGTTCCAGGAGAGCGACAACCTTTGGTGGGATGCGTTCGCGACTGAATTTTTTGAAGATGACGCCACTCTCACCCTCACCTTTTGCTTAGAAGACGGACCCAAGAGATATAGTGAGTATGGACCACGTGGCGGAATTAATCAGAAGAGCGTATCGATACCCTGAAAAGAGAGAATGCCCGTCGACGCCGGAGAAGTATTTCTTTGAACGGTACCAAAGAGATGTTTCGTTAATTCAAAGAATAATTACATTACTCGAGTGCAATCGAACGGATTGGATGCAACGTTTCTTCGGAATTATCACAATTTAATTCAGTTATTTCGGTCAAGTTTTAAGATTTTTTTACATTTTTTTTTTATTTTAATTTTTTTTATGTAGACCACTTTTGCAGTTTCCGGCGCAAATGTGGGTTTGACCGTGGCCGTAAAATGAACAACAGAGACGACTAAGTAATGTCACTAACCCATTCTTTAATAATATTTCCAGCGATAGGAAGGACGTTGATACCAAGGTACTTCCGTTCGATATTCGAGGGCGGAGTAACGGAGCTTTACTACAACATGAAGCACCCGAAGGAGTCCTTTCACAACACCAGCATAACCCTAGACTGTGATCAATGCGTAATGGTCACGCATCACGGGAAGCCGATGTTCACGAAGGTAAAGCATCCGTCCCGACATCTTTCGCAACCTTCCTTCAAGAGTTGAACATTTTTATTTAACATTACTTAATAAGCCTCACGAGCGCGCGTGAACATTTGGAAACATTGATCCCATTTGTTTTAACCCTTTGAACACGGAGCCATTTCGACGTATGGGCGAAATTCCTCTGACCGTGCAGGCAATATTGGACCAAACGTCGGGCGCCTTTAGGCGCTCTTAAGAGTGAAAGGGTTAAGAAAAACGTTCAAAGTACTAGGAGGTCCCGATGAGAAAAATGAACTGCGAGGTTCGCCAGTAGAATTACATGAAATTTTCATGGTATAGGGAATTTAGAGGTTCGGTCGTTTCTACTGGAGGACGTCCTCTTCAGGGCGCGGCGCCTGAGAGGTCCCTCCTGGGGAACCACGGCTCAAAGATTGATCCTGTTTGTTCTCCGCAGGTGTGCACGGAAGCCAGGCTAATACTGGAGTTCACCTTCGACGATCTCATGAGGATAAAGTCGTGGCACATGTCGGTCAGGGCGCATCGGGAGCTGGTGCCCAGGTCCATGGTGGGCATCCATACCGCCCAGCAGGATCCGTCGATGCTCGAACAGCTCAGCAAGAACATCACGAGGCAGGGCATTACCAATTCCACCCTCAATTACCTTAGGGTAAGTAGGTCCCAAGCCGGAGGTCGAACCATTTTGCACCCCTCGCCCTCGCAGCCGCTCTTCGAGGTGAATCATCCGCGGAGACGTTGTCTCCCTCCGAGAGACCCAGGGATAAAAAGAGTCACAGACGTCTGGGATAGGTGTTTAATCACCCGCCACGTGGTTTTCTCTCCCCACGACGTTCTTAGACGTTCTTCGGGTCCTCGGGAGAAACGGGAAAAAATAGTTGATTAACCAAACGCCATAGGGGATCCTCCTTGTCCAAGTTTCCCTGAAGAGCGTCGCGGTTAACCCGAAGCTACGAGATTGTTCTAAGAGTTTCGGTGAATTGCGGCGGGATAATTATGGGTTTTTAAAATTGTTTTAATTTTTCTAAAAATTCTAATCTTGGATAGATACAATCCAGGCTATTTTCTAGAGACTGACGTCGATGTTTTGGATGTTTTCCAGTTATGCGTGATCCTGGAGCCGATGCAGGAACTGATGTCGAGGCACAAGGCGTACGCCTTGTCGCCGCGCGATTGCCTGAAGACGACGTTGTTCCAGAAGTGGCAGAGGATGATTGCCCCGCCGGGTAAGAGAGGTAGACGGACAGTTGCTTTACCAGAGAACCACCGGCGCCTTTTGGAGGAAAAACAGAGGATCGGTTTGCCACCCACCAACGGAATCATTAGACGTATCAGATGGATCAAATAATTCCGCGGGTCGCACGCGGCTCTTCGGCTCCGAAGTCCTGGACCATGTTTGCGCGTCCTTTTTCCTCTCCCCGATCGCATCGGACCTATCGATCCTTGCATGGCGTTATTCCCAATGACCCCAACGACTCTCCTCCAGGTTTCCCTTCTGGGTCGCACCCTACGCCCTCGAACCCTCCGTTCCCTGTCCTTCTTCTCGTAGGAAACAACTACCTCGCGAACAAAGCTCCCATCCTGGCAATCGGCGCAACCCGAAGAGCACGAGTTTCGGTTAGGAATAATTAACGATCACGGGATTACATTTGTAATAGTACTATGCATAGGTAAAACAGTTCTCTCAAAATTCCCTGAGACAATGCCGAACGATCCCTGTCGGAGAGCGTGCTCCAACGAGCCGGCATTCCTCTCACAATGACCCAGTCGTCAGAAATGACCGTTTGTTGGAACACCTAGGACATTGTTCGGCGATTGTCAGCCCTGTCAATAGCGGGGCAACTCCTACGCGGGTTCCCTCGAGCTTTCCCCTCGGTTTGCCCTGCCCCTGTGAGCACGACGCGCATACACGGTGCTCGGTACGACGGATACGTACAAGGAAGTCGGAGCCAAGAGCCGCGCAATGCCTTAGTACTCGGCATCGAGCGTGCTTCTCAGTAAAGGACTTGCTAGCTTTCGGAGTACGTAGCGTGAGGGAGCTTGAAGCCTGATTCTCAGGGCTAGCCACGGTCCGTTATGCTCAAATATCAATAGTCAAGGAACCTGGCTCAATCTCGACGAATCGGGCTTTAAGCGTCCCTCTGTCGCTGCATGCGTGCCTGCCTTTAGCACGACTAACGTGCACAGAGACCTTTGAGCCAAAGAAAGGTCCACTGCTGAGTAGTGACGTTGGGTCGGTCGAAAACGCTTAGGTGCTCTGTATAATACATTGAGATATATCGCCGAGCCGGATAACTCTCGCGCTCCTAACGTTTCTCCGCAATTTCTCTTCAGACGCCCAGAGGCCGCAGAACAAGAGAAGAAAGCGGAAAGGAAGCGCCTCGGGTGCGGGGAACAACGCCCCACCGGTGCCCAGTAAAAAGAGATCACCTGGACCGAACTTCTCCTTGGCGTCCCAGGTGAGGCACTTCGACCTCCTCGCCCCTCTCTTTTTTCATAGCGGAATGAAATCTTGAGGGGAATGCGCCTTTTTAAAAGACCAAACCCAATTAGGTCTTCGCGGGCGTTTTCTCATTTTATTTTTTTTTCCCTGTTTTTTTTTTTTAATTCTCTGAACCGCTTTTGTACGTCTCTGTTGCGTTCTTCGTCTCCGGGCGATCATTCCTCCTTGCTTGGTCTTGGTGCACTTTGTGCAAGACCTAGATTTTCCTCATCATCGGATGAGTGATACGTTGGTCCTAGGTGAGGACGTCTTGCCGATCAGGGTTGATGATGAAGTCTTGCCAAGTGCTGACGATAAGCTTACTGCCTGTCTAAAAGGGATGCGATTCTTCCAGGATGTCATGGTCGTCGGTGAGCCGTCCCTGATGGGAGGCGAGTTCGGTGACGAGGACGAGCGACTGATCACGCGGCTAGAGAACACGCAATACGACGCCGCTAATAGTCTGGATCCTCATAGTCACGACGCCTCCGGTGGACCTCCACCCCATCCTCACCAGTTCCACTCCGAGCCGACCCCGGGCAACTCCTGGCCACCCGACCGTGGTCCTGGACCCCCACAGGGAGGGCCTGGCAGTCAGGTAATCCCATCGACGTGCACCGATCACTCTAAAAATGGACACGGACGCAGAAAGGCCTTGTACTCAAGTTTAGGAACCGAAGACAGTCGCGAAAAGACGTGAAAACCACGCTCGCGTTACATGAAAGGGATATTTGATTCGGTGTACCGGGGTGGCAACAGGTGCAAGTAACGACTGGTCCATGATTTCAGGGAGTGCAAGGCTCTCAGGGCGGCGCGGGTGCCGGTGTACAGGGGTCGCAGGACGCGAGCCAGCAGCAGCAAGACAAGAAGAGCCCCGCGGTGAGCCAGTGAGGCCAGGAGTCCCCGCGCCCCCCCACCAGGGGGCGACGGGGGCGCAGGCCCAAGAACGTGGCTCCCTAGCGGGGCGAGAACCTGAACCTCCTGGCGTCGCCCTACCTGGCCACCTTGTCGTCCCACGTCGGCGCGCTCCCTCTCGGCCCGGCCGAGCACCAGGCCCACGCGGGCCCCTCTTCCATGGGGATGGAACCCCTAGAGCCGATGCTGACGCCTGCTCAGCCTACTGGTGGGGGCTTGACGCAGCCGATCCAGCAGCCGCAGCCCCAGGGCCAGGACCCTCTCCAGAGCCTGGTGCAGCAGCTCTTCTACCTGCAGCAGCTCGAGTACCTCCTGGTGCAGCGCGGCCACATCTGAGCGGAGTCGGAAGAGGGAGAGAGAAAGCGACCTAAAAGGAGCACGGAGAACGAGGGGGGAAGAGAGGACCCTCCGTCTTCGGTTTCCTGGGGCCGAGGCGACCGGTCTTCCCCTGGAGCGGACCAATGACGCGCCCGGGGAATCCAAGACGGCGGACAGCCAAGATGGTGGAGATCCAAGACGCGAGACGCCGCGCTGCCAGGGACGCAAGCACGGAGACGAGGACGGCGACGGGGAGACTCCTCTTCGCGCAGTACCCTTGGAGTCCTGGAGACGTCCTTCGGGGGCTCGTTTTATCTCCTCGAGGGATCTTGATCCGTCTGCCCGGTGGACTCTCGAGCGCCGAGACGCGCATGCGCGCCGCGGACCGGGGGCGGTTTTGTGTCGCGGCCGCCGCCGAGGGCGCCACTGGCGCGTGTGATATACTTGGGACGGGGGATGAGCCGCGGCGAAGAGGAGATTTTTAGAGGAACGCGTGATCCGCGAGTCGATTCGTCACGCCGAGAGACGCTCACCTTTGGATAACACGCGACAGGGACGATATCGGTACCCGCTCTGACGCGAGCTGTGAATGAATCTCTATCCGTCAACAGTATTGATATAATTATAGAGTAAATGAATATAATATTGTAAGAGATCTAGCGTTAAGTACGTATTGTGCAAACGTGTGTAAGAGGGGTGCGCGGTGTGCCAGGGAGAGAAAGGGAGCTTGAATGAACGTGGCGAACGGGGTTGAGAGAAAGAGAGAGAGAGGGTGACGATGGAGCGACGAAGGGAGGGGCCGGGGATTCGATGTTTTAGTACGCGACTCTGACGATTATTCTTTTCCTTTTTTCGAGGTATTTATTCGGCAGGAAAGGGGCCAGAAAGACGAGCTCTCGAGACCGGAAGCTTCCTTCCGAGGGGAACCGTTCGACCGTTCCCTGTTTCGCTGGACCGTAGTCAAGATAAGAAGCACTCGGCAAATAAGAGAGGCGTGACTAATCGCGGAGAGATGGTACTTTGCGATGCTTGAAAATATTTATTACCGTTCATTTACCTGGGGGAAAGGGTTTGACCCGGAAGTCTGTGTATTGTCATCATTTTTCGGGGTTGAACTTCTCGACGGGAAATGCGGAACTTTCGGGGCTGGTAGTAAATGGGGAATTGTACAATTATTTCTGTTACTCTTATCGTGAATGCAATAGTTGACAAAGTGATCATTCAAGATCCTTCAACCTTCGTAAATCAAACGGTTTACCTGGTTTTTAATTATAATCTTGCATCGTTTTTCGCAAAGACTGGTCGTTGAATTTCGTATTACTCTCAGTCTATGTTAAGATCCTTGAAATTCGAGATTAAAATTAATTCGACAATCTTGTAATACTTTCCACGTATTTAAAGGCTTATTTGAAGTTAGCTTTCAATTACGTCGAATTAAGATTTCGGAGAGAAGACCGTGGGAACCTTGAGTCGCTCCTCTTCCCGAAGTCTTAATAATGTATATACCGAACCAAAAGTCTCGAATTCTGCCAATTCCAAATAAGTCCTGAAATACTGTAAAATATTTAAAAAAAAACCGACTCCTCGGAACTTAATATCATTTCTCCTGGCAACCTGACTCCCCGAACATCGTCGAGGGTCTGATAGAACCTCGTCGGTTCGTGCTAATTGAAGATTGTTCGTCGCAACATTGTCGAGGTATTCGGCAGCGCCGCGACGCTCTCTCTTTCTCCTCTACGGGAATTCCCGAGGGAAATCTTGCGGGGCTCTTGCGCGACACACGAACCTTCCGTCAAACGTTTCGCTCAGAGGTGGAATCGAATGCGATAATCCGTTCGTTGTCCATAAATGTACAAAGGAGAGAGCAGCCATTAAGTGCAGAGCTCTCTCGACCCGGCTTCGAGTTTTCCCGAATTGTTCAGGTTCACCCCGCAAACGCAATTCCCGTAGAATCCTCTCTTGAGTTACTTGACAATCATGCTCTTTCCCCCCTCGCTTCCCATTTCTCTCTCTTTCTTTTCCCTCCTACTTTCTTCCTCTTTCCGTACCGTGCCCGGGGAAACAACGTCGTAACACATTTTCGCAATTCCCGACGAGAGAAATTAGAATCCCACGGCGCAGATTGCTCGGAACGGACGTGTTCCTTTTTTTTTTTTTTTTCATTAATTAATCAACTTGCCGAGAAGAAATCCATTTTTTGTGGGCCCTTACAATGGCCCACCGACCCTGCGAATCAATTTATTACCCGCCGGGTAAATTTCTTTTTGTTTACCGGCGAGCGAAGGGCGACCTGCCCTCTGAATTATACAAGATATGTGTTCTCTTCCATTTTTGCGGGGAAACGAAATACCACACACTCGATGGGAGGATATAACGTTTCGCAAACCGCCGTGGAAAACCGCGAGTACTTTTACCAATCATGTTAAGCATATCCAATTAATCGAAGGGGGATACAAATTAAGATGCGACTTTCCGCTAAGTCCCTAATTCTAAAAGCGAGGAAAAGGAAAGAATTTCACGCTCGCCATTTCCTACCGAGGAGCGCACTTCGTTTGCTGATTTTTCCAACGCGAAGAGGGCTCGCAACTTATACAACTATTATTTATAATGCTGGACAAAGAAGGATTTTCACCGATGACTTCCTGATCGTTCGGGAGGAGCGATGCAAGTGTTCCTTTAAAATTGTTCTTCGTTCGGCTATAACAATCGGAATGTAGAATATATTATTCAACGACGCCGTTTCGCGGAATCATCCTTAATTATTGTAACTAAATTCGCACACGTCTACGTTTGGCAGATTTGACAAGACAGACCTGAAAGGTTCACGGTTGAGCACAAGTGACGGTGTATGGGGATTACACGCGTGTACGCGCGAAAATTACGCGAATTAGTTTCTTAAGCCACGTGCGCGAGCGAGAAAGAAGAATGTACGCGTGTGTGGGTGGGTGGGTGTAAACGAGAGTGACAGGGAGAGAGAGAGAGAAACGAGAGCTTCAGCGATTTCGCATAGGTGCGTGTATGATAAGGAGAGAAAATGCGAAAAAGAGAGCGAAAGAGAGAGAAAGTGTCCGTGGTGAGTTCTACGCGCGAATGTGTACGGTGGGTTTTAGGATAAAATGATCTATTGACAAATGTTGTATATTATTACGAATTATAATGACACTATTATAATTAATTAATTATTATACCATAATAATGTGAATTGAATTTAAACAAAAAAATACATAAATGATAAGTAATAGGAACAATTTTTAATTGTTAGCGAAGCACACGGATCGCCGCGGTAGAGAGGGACTGCTTGATAAGGATGTTTATGAGCGAGATGAAAAAGATAACGGGGACGTATTTCTTTCTTTCGTTTCTTAACATGATGCACGATCGAAGGGAGACTTTTAAGGGAATTCTTGACGACCGTCTTGTACTCCTGCCCGCGGGGAGAATACCAAAAAACCTTTTATGCACTGTAAAAGAATTCCACGGTGTGGATTTGGAGGATTCACTAGACAACGTGGATCGATGAAAACCACGCCTGATCCGATCGATCGATTTAACGTCGTGCAAGTTCACACCGGCTGGCTCGAGGTAGAATTTTTTTACAGTACTGTGTAGTAATAGACTTTGGTATTACTTGGAGGATCTATGAGACCGTCGTAAAGGCTCGTTTAACGCGACCCGACGTCCTGTACAATTTTCACGACGGCTCCAGGGTTTCCTAGCTTTTGACCAATCACCGGACGAGTTCTGGCGACGTCGTGGAAAAATTGTACAGGGCGTTACATTGTATAGAAGAAGAAGAAGAAGAAGAAAAAAAACGAAAATGAAAGGGGGCTTGCAATCGACGTTAATTGTGCACCCGTCTAGGAGCCGATCCGCGCGGTCGAACGACGACTAATTGACTTAGGGTTTAGCAGTTTTCGAATTTGTAATTTACTTGACTTATTGATTAATCGCCGGGATAATGTACAGCTCGAGGGCGCCGATCGGCTAATGGGCGGGCTTTTTGAAAATCGCTCATGTTCATCGAGGAGACGAATCGATCGTTGGCATGGTCGCGCGAATCCGCGGCGAATCTTGCCTGCATTACAGCGAGTTTAGTCTTTGCCAATGGTCGATTTGCAAGTAGCGATAGCTGCTGAGTCGAGGAATAAAATCTTGTCGACGTTGATTTTTTGTCCAGGCGAGGTGATGTTGTATAGAGGGTCTTCCCAGGATGCATGGTCTCCACGCGATGCATCTGTACATCCCTCCTCTGCGTCGCGCATCGCTCGAGAACGTAGCCTAAGGGTCGTCTCAGACATATCCGTGACGTTTCCGTGCACTGATGGAAATAACGTATCTTTCTTTAGACTCATATGACATTGTTCATACATTTCTGTAGCGGTATCTGTATTCGTTGTATGAGGTCGAGGAATAAGTTCCCGCCGATTACCTTACGTTAAAAAATTCTATTTCTCGTACTAACGACGGGATAAGATGCTGACGCTGTGACGGAAATCACTCATTTCTACTTATCGGCTCTTCCAAAAGTGCCTTTTGCTTTTGTAATTCCATATTCGGTATTTTCTGACAGTAGAAAGACCTTTGAGTCATCTGGAAGCGTTGATGGGATTCGGTTTCACCTGTTGGCTCTTTGATGTTGCGAATTCGCGTTCTATGTTTCTCATTTACTAATTTCATGACTTCTTTTTTTGTTGTGAAGTACCTTCCCACTCGTATGAAATTAGTGCAATTACTGGGGGTTCCTCGGGGGGGAAAATTAATTTTTCTTCGTGTCTCGAGGGTCATGTCTCCATGACACTGAAGGGAAGTCGTAGCAGAGGGTGAATACTCTGGACGGATATGCACGGATACGTAACGGACGTGGCATGGATATGTTTGAACCGGCCTTAAAACAACGGAAATGAATTTACAGTTGTACGAGCCGTATATCTACATGAATGAGCGTGGTTGGCCCCCTCAGGTGTTCGTACACCTTGCGAGCCAAAGCCTTGCTTTTCGAGCGAGGGGATATTCACTCGGAAATCAGTCGAGACAATGTCTTTCTTTGCGAACCAATTGCAATTGATTAAAACAATAAACGTTAGTAACACGTGAAGTTCAGCGTAAAAGCATCGCAGCAAAACTAGTAAAGGTAAAATTCAATAGGTATTTTACTTTACAAAATTCATACGTGATGTAAATTACATGAATATGGGACTTCATGCTTCCTCATACTTCCTTTAAGTATTTTATGTAAAAAACCTCGAATGTCGCGTACAGCCCTGACGAGTGTCCTTTCTCCGTATAGTTGCGAATAATTTAAATGCATTACATTACAGGTTCTAGAGATTTACAGCTGACTTATAAGTAATGTTTAACGGTAAAAAGATTGATTTCGTGAGTGAATAGCCCCTTCGAATCCGAGCGTTGTGGGAGGTCCGACTGTATACTCGAGCAGCGTCGCGGCTGTAGATAGAAATTATCTGGAACCACCACCACGAACCTTCAACTGAGTTTAACGTTTCCTTCGTTACGAGACCTCGTTCGTGTTTTTTGTACAAAATGGAGTGTTAGCCACTTTCGAAGGTGTGCACCCTTCGAAGGTGGGCATGGTAGGGCGAGATCTGGTCCAGAAGTCTTCGACCATATATACGTGGACGCGGCACTCCCTGTAAAGGACAATTGTGCTTAATGAGGTTTATACTGTAAAAAAGGTTATTGTAAAAAACTAGCAATGTTTACCGGCTCCGTGGCACGAACGACGCGTCGAGTAGGCATCGAAAATCCGACTAGTCGATATTCCTTCTTGTTTTCTTTTTTCTTTCTTTTCTTTTCTCCTCTTTTCTTCCTCGGTTGGACCGATTTTATTTCCATCCTCGGGACTTTGTTCGATCCTCACGTTTTCGCCACCTTCGCGGTATCTTTTGTCAGTGAAACCAACATTGTCATGCGGACGCCCGACGTGCGGTTGTAATTTTTAGACTCGGAAGGGAAATTGTCTAGGATGCACACCTTTTTCGATGTATTTTCCGTTACGATAATCACTTTTACGCACCTAAGTATACAGTGAATAAAACATTGTTTACGAATATCGACGCCAGTGTGCTTCATCATTTAACGCAAACGGAGATAATTGTTTTGCGCAAATTTTCGTACACGCTTTGGGCACGTTGTTCCTTGAAAGCGTTTAAATGTTCATCGGAGAGACATTCGCTGTGTCAAGGTAATGACATCTTAGTAACTTCCAAGGAACCCGCGAATGTATTTATTACCTTTGCCATTACCTGTTTTAACATCAAAATTGTTACGAAAATTTGCGTGTACAATGTGTACTTATGTTATTAATTGACAAGAAATACCCTGGTGGTTAAATCTCACGGTTCTCGTCGGAGCTCCTTCTTTCTTCGTGTATTAAGTGCATACATTCTCTGAAAGATGTTAAATTATGTAACTGATTAGGTCTCCCAGAATCCATGCTTTTAATATACAAGTAATGAAGGAAATTTTTACGTCTTATTGTTTGAGATTGCTGTATATAGTGTTGAACGTGTTTCGAGCATCAATGTTGGTTTCGGTCAGCTTGCGAAATGCTGAGTTCATTTATCTATGGTCGAAGGGCGAAATCGAATTTCTCTCTTGGCATCACATTTCCTAGACAATCGGCGCAGCTTTCAATAATTCCAGATACCGCAACATCGGAGATACAAAGAGTTTAATGCCATCGATCGACGGCGGTGAAATTCCATATCTTCATCTTGAGAACGTCGCTTTTTAAATGTTGGAGTCGGATGGCCTTTACTGCAGGGATTCCCCTTAATTCTTCCTTCGAATTTCAGGTTGCTCTAAATGAGAAAAAAAAATTCGGATCAATCGCCGGGAAACCATAAAATCTTCCTGACAAACTGTAAAAATGCGCTCCCGTGGAAAGAAGTCTTTACCCTGACCATGAATCTCTTCATCGAGGTAAGCCCAATGAAATGAAGAGCCTAAATAATCACGATCATGTTTAAATCATTGAGTCCTAATTATAATTACTCTCGGACGCGCTTGTATATATTTATAATTTTACTCGTAAAAAAAAAAGATAGCCTTCCTATTTCTTGCCTAATTTATTTCCTATTCATTGTACACGCTGGAAGCTAAGGTAACATTAGATACGGATAATTATTATCGTTGTACAGAGTTTATCTAGATATTCATTTTTAAATGGGATATTTTAGGTTGATATAACGCACAGTAGATATCTTAATCTTGCATTATTTCCCCGTGGATGCAACTCGATTCTCCCATCAGAAATCAAGGCAAACTTATCTAACAGTGAGCATATCTATTAATAGCTTCTCAAGTGTTTCTTTTTACCACATCCAGTATACATCTTATTTTACTCTTTTTTCATCGCGTCTCTTTCCTTTTCTTGTATGTCATCTCTTCTGGAGGGGAATACTTGAGATTGTACACCCTTTCTTGCCTTTCGGTTAATATTCTTCTGCTAAACTCATCTTGGTAATCGAAGGTCGATCAATCGCAAATTCTGGACCAGTCTCGAGAGAAAAACTTGCACCGAGAGCATGTAAAATAAATAGCGAATTAGGGGAGGGGGGGCAATTAAAGCGAGCCAGGATATATGTTTACCCTCTAAGTGGACATGGGTCAGCTACGGTATATTATATTAATATACATTCAACACAGTTGGCTCATCGCCATGACCAATAAAGTAATAAGAAATTGTCATCTAATTACATTTTTACGCACTCCAAATTTTTATCCTCGTCATTTGTATCATAGCGACATGTGTTTAAAAAGTCCACATTATATGTATGTAATCAAAATTGTAACTGAGAAAAGCGTTAATAAAAAAGAAAAAAAGAACAAGATACCACCTGCCGAGATATGTCCGCGATCGAACATGAAGCACCGCTCGAAAAAATACGATATTTCAAGCTAATACCATGAATTTTCCTAATAAAATGATTACTACTCGCTGAGTAAACATGCATACTTTCAAACGACACCGTTTGTACCATAGATTCATTCATAAAATGGAACTTATTCGTTAGAATCTCCTAGAAGTTGAGGTAACGTTTCACGCGTTTGCGTCATTTCCAGATCAAACTCGCGGAAGGTACTACGTGCTTCTAGAAACTTCTTAATTTTCTCTTGGACTTCAGGAAATTATCGTCATTTCGAATAATCCGGAAACGCGAATATATGAATAGAATTCGGGGAATTTTTATGGGCATAGTGTTTATTTGTAGTTTTTAGATATTTGGTTGATATTGTACATATTAAACATTCGTTTGACTAACGTGTGTGGAACATTCCCGAGTGTTCAGGTCCGATCGAGTAGCAGGGATCCGGCTTGATACGCGATTGGCTGCTTCCTCTGAAGACAGTCGCTGATTGGTCGGCGCTGCGCGGGGGTGCTACGGAGTGCGCACGAGCGGTGCGTATCAGTCTCTGCGAGAGTTGCATCACTACACGTGAAGTTGGAGTCGCCGTTCCGGCTGGTTTTTCGCCGAAATTCCGCATTCTACGACAAGAAATGCTGGCCGCTTCGAGAATCTTGACCCGCGGTTGCGTCGGAGTGTCCTGCGACATAACCAGGAGGCAACAATTCGGCACCATCCTGAAAAATGTGAGTACTCCACCGGCGAGGCCGCGGTGCACGTTTCGACCCCGAGAGGAACTCGTCCTCCTTTATTTCATCCCTAGACAAGTGCTTCCCCATCCTGGCCGAATTTATTTCTCATCCGCGATGATCTTTCTTTACGGAGATGAAATAATGACAGTCGTTCATTTTTGATGTTGAGACCTATCAGTGTCGCTTTCCCGACCGGTGCCCACGAGGCGCGGTTGAACTCGAGGCATTCCTCGATGTTACGCTAATCGAGAAAAGCAGTAACGATGCCAAACGTATTTCTTACGTTCCTTTTTGGTCTTAATATTATGGCACGCTCGAATTGATTGTCACTTGGAGTCTTCAGTGATGCGGAAGATATGCGTTGCGGGTTTCAGTGATTAGGTTATATCGTAGTTACGAAATTATATAGGTATCTTAACCTTGAATAATCTTGAATCGAAACAGATATTTGAAATTAGAACTGTAAAAACCTGTGGAAACAACGGAAGTTTTATTACTCGGATGGAGAATTCGTAATTTGTTGTATTTTTGCCATTTTATCGGAATCATGCTTCCGACGTGTAAAGGTTTCTAAGCATCGTTCTATTTTTAAATGTAGTTTCTTTTATTGTTTCTCTTTAATTTCAGGTTGCTGCCACTCCTTCGATTTTGTCGCTACAAAGGCCTAATGAATTGTACCAGTATCGGTACAAGTGAGTACTAATGATACATTGTTAATTTTTAGTGAGGTTATATTACATGGTGAATGTGTACAGAAATAAATTTGATTATCTTTTTATGATAATATCTGTTAAATGTTTATTTCTATTCTCTGTGAACAGATCGGAAGGCGTTAAGGGGGCAGTTATAGGTATTGATTTAGGAACGACATTTTCATGTGTCGCGGTAATGGAAGGAAAACAAGCTAAGGTCATTGAAAATGCGGAGGGCTCGAGAACGACACCATCTTTTGTTGCATTTTCGAAAGGTTTGTGAATAAAACAACTTTGTTAATATCTTAACCCGAAGGTACTAAAAGTAAATGAAAATCGCGTTATTGATGCAATGTTGATACATTGCTTTTACTTTCAGATGGAGAGCGTCTTGTTGGAATGCCTGCCAAGCGTCAAGCAGTCACAAATTCAGCAAATACTTTCTACGCAACTAAACGTCTTATTGGAAGGAAGTTTGATGATTCTGAAGTAAAAAAAGAAATGTATGTATTTTTTTTAACACAATGGCATGCAGGGACTTTTGAAAGGTTTATCATCATGTAAATGTAAATGATTTCAGGAAAACTGTTTCATACAAAATTGTTCGGGCGTCTAATGGAGACGCGTGGGTTCAAGGAGGTGATGGGAAGATGTATTCTCCTAGTCAAATTGGTGCTTTCATTTTGATGAAAATGAAAGAGACAGCCGAGGCATATTTGAATACTTCGGTAAAGAATGCAGTCGTAACTGTACCTGCATACTTCAATGATTCTCAGAGACAAGCAACTAAGGATGCTGGACAGATTGCTGGTCTAAATGTTCTTCGAGTTATCAACGAGCCGACGGCAGCTGCGCTGGCATACGGCTTGGATAAAGCTGAGGATAAAATGTATAATGATACTTCTAATTTTACATTACACTCGATATAAGAACTCTCAGGATATGTGAATTACTATTTCAAATATTCACTCTCAAACTATCAATAACACTTCCAGCATAGCAGTATACGATCTTGGAGGCGGTACCTTCGATATCTCAATTCTAGAGATTCAAAAGGGTGTTTTCGAGGTGAAGTCAACTAATGGTGACACGTTCTTGGGTGGTGAGGACTTCGACAATGCCTTGGTCAATTTTCTCGCTGGCGAATTTAAGAAAGACGTATGTAACACTGTTGCAAACTGTAGGAACATAATCAAAGAACATCTAATTAACATTCTTTTTAATTTTTACAGCAAGGCCTAGATGTAACGAAAGATGCCATGGCGATGCAGCGACTCAAAGAAGCTGCTGAGAAAGCGAAAATCGAATTGTCCAGTTCTCTGCAAACTGACATCAATCTTCCATACCTGACAATGGATTCCAGTGGGCCAAAACATTTGAATCTCAAACTGTCAAGAAGCAAATTTGAGAGTTTAGTAGGCGAACTGATTAAGCGAACGATTCAACCCTGTCAGAAAGCCTTGTCAGATGCAGAGGTTTCCAAGTCTGACATCGGTGACGTCTTGCTGGTTGGAGGAATGACCAGAATGCCAAAAGTTCAACAAACAGTCCAGGACATCTTCGGACGACAACCTTCTAGGGCAGTCAATCCTGATGAAGCCGTTGCTGTTGGAGCTGCCATCCAGGGAGGTGTACTTGCTGGAGATGTAACCGATGTGCTCCTCCTCGACGTCACTCCTCTCTCATTGGGTAAACTCTCATAATCACATCTAACTTGAATGTTTACCTATACCGAGGCAATTATTCCACACAAATGAAAATAGTTAACACCTTGATTACAAAAATCGTTCTCATCAAGAAGCTTATACTTTATGCGTATTATTAATATTTACAGATGATGTATAGTGTCTAATCTTCTCTCTGAAAAATATTGTGAAGATATTGATCTTCTGACTGTTTAAATGTAAAACCTTTTAATACCTGCGTGTACTCTGTGAGCGGAAGGAGTTTTAACATCTATTGTTATCGATATTTAGGTATCGAAACTCTTGGAGGCGTGTTTACCAGGCTGATCTCTCGCAACACGACAATTCCCACAAAGAAGAGCCAAGTTTTCTCGACGGCGGCTGATGGCCAAACCCAGGTGGAAATCAAAGTTCACCAGGGTGAACGAGAAATGGCTAACGACAACAAACTCCTGGGACAGTTTACACTTGTTGGCATTCCCCCAGCGCCGAGAGGAGTTCCGCAAATTGAAGTTACATTCGATATTGACGCAAACGGGATTGTACACGTCTCTGCAAAGGACAAGGGCACTGGCAAGGAGCAACAAAGTATGAATCTTCCATTAACAATTCCACATTTTAAACCAAGTCCACCTATTACATAAATTGATATACCTGTGTCAAGTTTCAAATTTGACAACTTTTTAAGTACCTGAACAATCGAATTAATTACTTTCAAGCAGACTACAATGATGTGTATATTTTTCGTCTCTCAATGTTGCATCGTTACGACGTATCCTCGTATGTGGATAATCTTTTCTGAGTTATCGCGTGGAGTGTTACAGAATGTTCGAAACTTAGGGACGATGTAATATATAAGTAATGCATTTCAGTCGTCATCCAGTCAAGCGGAGGTCTTAGCAAGGATGAGATCGAAAACATGGTGAAGAATGCCGAGCAGTACGCCAAAGAGGACAGAGTTAAGAAGGATAGAGTGGAAGCTGTCAATCAAGCCGAGGGAATTGTCCATGACACCGAAGCTAAGATGGAGGAGTTCAAGGCGCAGCTACCTCAGGAAGAGGTAATTCTTAATCCTTTTCAATACGACTGTGTCATCTGTAGGACACAGCAAACGTGCGATGGGTGACTGTAGTCACCCATAGTATCGAAAGGGTTAATGTACATTTTGGCATAAGTTATTTGACATTGGATAAAATCACATCTTGCGTGTTTTTCCAGAGCGACAAGCTGAAAGACTTGGTAGCAAAGATGAGGGAAACCCTGGCGAACAAGGACAGCATAGACCCCGAAGAAATCAAGAAGCAGACCAACGAGCTCCAGCAAGCCAGTCTCAAGCTCTTCGAGATGGCGTACAAGAAGGTACGCAATGATCATCGTTCAGCTAGATGACGAGCGGCGATTTCTTAATTTGTCGACTGTTAATAATTATTAATAATCATTAACGAGGCACTTTGTCGCTTCAGATGGCCGCGGAACGAGAAGCCAGCGGCCAGGGCGCGCAACAACAACAGGAACAACCCGAGGGCGAGAAGAAGGAAGAGAAGAACTAAATCTCTTAGTCAGCCTTGTCGAACGAAACGTAATGGACATTTCGCGTATCATAAGTTCCCAGATTGCCGTCGTGAGACTTTAACACAAATGCACAGAAGCTATTTCCGGTGTTGAGCTATCGACGCCACTATTTTAGGGTACATTGGAGTACTAGTTCGTACTAGTCACACGTCGGCACTAGATCGGCGAGAGAACGACGGCGATTGGGACGATGAAGTGTGTTCGCGGTTACAAGTCCACGAGAAGGTGAAATATCTTCCCTCGCGGAAATCGACGCGGTTGAGGTCGAAATTCGATGGCTCGCTTCGTGCTGATTCGAGGTCGCGTTTCTGGAATTCTCAGGGCTAAACTAGGTGTCGAGAGAGAAAAAAAAAGAAATCTGGATGGAATAAGACAAGGTGTGAGTTTGAAACAATTTGATATACTCTGGAGACAAGTTTCATGAACGAGAATTCTTTGACGCCACATTCACGTTCCCTTAACTACCTTTCGAAAATACCGCACCTGGTGATTCGGGCTTCGTTTTACGTACCTTGGTTCTTATCAAGGAAGTTCATGATTCTTGTATACCTAATTTCGCCTCGTGGTCTTCCGTTAACGAGAATCCAATCGCCAAAGAACAACTGCACAAATAGTTTGCCGAGAAACGAGCCCTGGTAATAATCGACACCCTCTGCGTCCACGCGATAAATACTTACTCTTGGGTAACAACCGAGTTTCGCGCTCAGATGTACTTGGCGCGGTACTCGACCGAGTTTCTTGACCAAGGACACTTCTTATATCCGAGGAAAATTAAGCCGCATATGCTCTGCCGTTTGAAACGTTTATGTAAATTATGTACATAACTGATTGTGCCGCTCGCATCGGCCGAGACATTCGCGTCCTACTCGACGTGCGGCATTAGAGGGGAAGAGAAAAGACATTGTCCACGATTCGGATGTCCATCCCTTGAATATTTAATCATCACTGATTAATCATCTTTCAGTTCTGAATATCGGAATCAATGTTTGCCCTATAGGCATTTAAGGCGATGTGTGGAAAGGGGTCTTGTTTATGAAAATTTGTTCTAACTGGGTGTACCGAATCGTTGGAAATTTTACCTCGTGATTACGAAGACCCCGAGGAACAAAAACTCCTCCCGGTTTACCGCGACCAGGATTGAAGGAACGACTTTTAATGCTGCAGGTTGAGTTAGGGGGGGAAGGAAAAGAAACACGGTTACTCTATGAGCTTCTTTACCAGAGCTTGGACTAGTGGGTCGGTCCCTGGACATCGAAAACCTAATTCCACTGTGCTAACGACGAAACTAACTCCTCGCTTTCATTGCCGTTACTTGGAGAACGTAATTTCCTGGATATTTCAAGTGGCCTAGTCGCGTCATCCTGGCATCGTGCCACTTAGCCTTTGTTCAAACTGGCAAACCAACTAGCCAACTAGCTGGTAAATCATTCAGAAGTCTCCCCAGAAGCCTAGTTAGGATACGAGCGGATTTGATGCTTGGTAGTACGCTAGCTAACCGGTGGCGACGCTGCAATCATCTTATCTCGGTTAAGATGATGTGAAAGTGGCGTCGAAGAGGTCTCGTTTATGAAACTTTTCTCCGAACTGGGTGTACCGAATCGTTTCAAACTTTACAACGTGAATCTGGAAGCTATAAGGAAGGTTTTGGTGCCCATAAAATGTCGATGTCTGAAAAATTTCCTCATAGAAGTTTTAAAAATTTTTCATAAAAATTGAAATTTTATGGGTCGCAGGGAGAGACTGGCTTTTAGAGTCTCTATGTTCACGTGGTGGAGTTTGAAGGTTTTGATACAATCAGTTTGGAGAAAAATTTCAACGGAGGCCTCTTTGACGTCACTTTCATATCATCTTAAGTGATAACATCGGATCTGGGCTTCCATGAGAACTTCTGAACTCTTTGTAGCCTCATCGCCATTCAAGTTAGTTTTAAACAATGGTATATCGTAGCGCTTTCGAGAGTAGGTCCAGTGATTTTTGTAAATTCGATTTTTCATATTATCACGAGAGATAAGGAGGGGTCTAGAAATTAGGCGTGTGGGTGCACGGTCGCGAGGATTCTTTCATTATATTTTTATTTCCCCGTTGCCCGTTTATTGTGTAGCCTATCCAGTGCGTGAATGGGACGATTATATACGTGGACGAAAGTGAAAAGAGTGCATGGTAGAGAAAGGTACATAGAATAAGCGGAAATACATGATACGTGTACGTAGGTTCTAAGCACCGCGGTATTAGAGGTGACAATTGTAACGACCCGGGGTCCACCAATCTTTTTTTATTCGAGAATCCGCGCCGGGAACTATACTACGTGTTTCTTTTCGTTGTGTTGTTCAATAAATCGTTTCAAATTTTTCACCGGCTTGTCGGCAGGAGGTGTGCGAAAGAATTTTTAGGTTATCTCGATGCGCGAGGTAACTAAAAACTAAACATTGTCTGATTTTAACGTCAGGCTGGATCGAATGGAATATTGCTTCATATATGAAGTTGGTACGTTAATAAATACGTACAGTGTTATAACATGGTATATTATACAAAATGCTCGATTATCCCTCGAAACTTCTGCTGAAGGAATATTTTTGTCGATACTTTCCAGCCTGACAATGGTGAATGGGTTATATCCAAGCTGCGATTAGTTTTTGATGTAAGTTGACGAATGTACGGCCATTAAAAGAGCTGTAAAATATACTACCTCTATTTTATTTGCGTAATTACACGTAGGGTCCTGTATGGATGTTAGCTGATTTTTTTTTTTTATTGGTCGTGCGGTTCGATTTACATCAAAAACGTATTTATTTAGAATTGCCAGATTGTTTCTGGAGTATATTGTCAATCACTTGGATTTATTTGTACATTTATGTGTAGTTGCAGCTAGTACAGGTAATACGACGAATGTATTTCACAGTGAAGGTAAGAGTACGCATAAGGATTTTCGAATTCTAATAAGGAGCCAGTTCTTATTTAGCAATGAACACGTACACTAATTATGGGGAAACTATTTTTATACAGATATATCGAGTCGTGATAGAGATAAGAAAACCAGTTTCGAATCCCTGTACACAAATGTTAGGGTAGAGTGGGCTTTTTTATGTTACTTTGCTTTCCCTTGCGCAGCAACTGCAGCTATTGCTGCCTTGACAGTCTCTTCGTCGCCTAGGAACTTCATTGAAACGACGGGTTTGAAATTCTCATCCAACTCGTAGACAAATGGAATCCCCGTAGGAAGATTAAGCCCCATTATTTCATCGTTACTCAGATCTGAAAGTTAAAAAGGGTTTACTATTGCTGGTAAAGATCTAGATATTTGTTATAAATGTATAACATACTGTCTAAGTGTTTCACGATGCCACGCAAGCTGTTTCCGTGAGCAGCAATGATGATCTTCTTGCCCTCTTTGAGTTGTGGGATGATCGTGTCATTCCAGTATGGCAGAGTTCTCTCAATCGTCAGTTTAAGAGATTCAAATTTAGGGAACTCTTCAGGTTTCGGGCCATCCTTGTATCGGGGGTCTTTCACTATGTTGTCATAGTATTTATGATCAGGCTCCATGGGAGGGGGAGGTGTGTCGAAGGATCGTCTCCAAATTTGTACTTGTTCTTCTCCGTATTTAGCTGCTGTCTCAGCTTTATTCATGCCAGTGAGACCACCGTAGTGCCTCTCGTTTAATCTCCATGTCTTACATATTGGTATATTCTCCTGACCAATCTCCTTAAGAATGGATTGTAGCGTTACCTGTGCCCTCGTTAACACCGATGTGTGCGCCACATCAAAGGTGTACCCTGCGTTCTTTAACGCTTTTCCAGCTGCAACAGCTTCGTTTTTCCCTACAATTCATAATAAGTAAAGAGCGCGGAAGGAAGAGATTTAAAGATCGAATTTGACGTGACAGAGGGTAGAAATTTGTTAATGTCAAGTTACAACGGACGACCTTTTGCCCTTGACATAGAGCGCGAGTTTTTCGTTCTAAAGTGAGAAAACGATTTCTTACCCTTGTCGGACAGACCGGCGTCGTACCAGCCGCAAAATAAATTCAACTGATTCCACTCGCTTTCGCCGTGGCGAACCATAACAATGCTGTATTTAGACTTGGACATGTTTTCGATACAAGTGCAGAGATCTTTTAAGTGCGACGACTCGCTGCTCTCTGATCTGCCTCGGCCAACGGAACCGCTCAACTCCCTACCATCTCTCGACATCCATCCTAACCTCAAAATATCTGAAAGCTTTCGGTCGAATTTCATCGAACAAATCGCGCTTGCGCGAGTCCCCATCAGGAATGCATTGTTCTGCCACTGAGGGGTAACAGGTGACAAGTGCATTAGTCGTCTGCATCCTCCACCGGGGGCAGCACAGGACGCGATCGCGCGACCCTGCCCTGAGCAGTCTCTCAACTCATCTCTGACAATAACAGTATTTAAACGAGCTTTCTAATTTAGAACTATTTAGAACAAAGCCATCGGAACGATTGTATTATTTATTTATAACGAAATGTGACGCGTCGATGACAGAACCTGGGCAGCTTTTTACTCATCGCAGTCCTCTGTCGAAGTAACCTTTAATTAAACATCATTTGCGCTGGAAAAGGAAATGAATGAAATGTGAATCTCCCGTGTCTTTATATGTTGGTCTTAATCTGAGTTTCTTCTATTTCACAGTCCGAGGAGTAACTATTTGTGGAGAGCATAGCTTGAAATTCTTATTAGTGCTTGTTTTATGTACACAACAGGTACATTAAAAAGAAGTAGTACTTTGATCGACAAGTAGGAAGTAATTATGGAAGTAACAGAAGACAGTAGCAAGCCGGCAGACTCTACGAATACTTCTGCTCCTAAGGAGGATATTTTCGAGATCACTTCTAATTGGATAATTAGTAATGACCGGTGCTTTCGGGATACCATTTCCACGGTGGCTCTGTCCAAAGCTATGGGAATGTAAGAACTTGCAAAGAGATATTGTGAGACGTTTCTTTGGATGTATCGATCGTAAATTATTTCTCTTAGGCCAAGCTTGGAGGAAATGGTGTCACTGAATACATGCGTTCAGATGCTGCGTTTACCGCGTGACGAAGACTGTTGTACATGGGGCATAAAAGTAACAAATGGTCAAAAGATTGCTCGCGTTGCCGTGGTCTCGGAAGCATCTGTCCTGGAGTTCTATAAGCAGTGTGGAGAATATTGGACCACTGCCGTTGCAGAGTTTGTAGATGAATTTGATGACAAGGCTGTATATATCACAGAAGTCTCCGTTGAGCCACCTTCGACAGAAATTCGCATCAAGGTAAACGGTTTAATGTCGCGTAGAAGAATTCCCTTAACGTGGGAGTCTTTTCTATTACTTTTATAATTTATAGTTTGTCAAGACAAAGTATAAACGTCCTGTTATGTGGCTCTATGGAATAAGGCTCGTTCTTACCGAGCCAATGCCACCGGAAGAAAGGGAAGCATTTGATTTCAATGTGATCAATAACTTCTTGCCAAAATCTAAATCCGTCTTAACATTAGAAAAGACGAGAAAACTAATACAAGTCTTCAGTACTTGTTCTGCCCATCTTCCTAAGGATGGTTCTTATCAAGGATGTCATGCGAGTTCACAATTAGATTCCCAATCACTGGATAGTGATAGCTTGAAAGTCGAAGAAAGCTCGAGGAAGCTAGAGAACCATTCCAGTTCTGAGATCAAAGACTTGGATATTCAATCTTATATCGATAATAAATTTAAGGATATAGAACAAAGACTAATGCAACGAATCGAACAACTGGAATTCAGTGTCAGCCAGAAACTTGATACGATTTTAAAGAAATTAGAAGAACCAAGGAATTCATCTTAACAGTCGCAATTTTATGTGTAACATGTGAGCCATACCACGATGACATAATCAAATTTGAGTATTTTCATGAATTGCTAATGCCTTTGTGCTGGTGAATCAAGATATTTTTTACCCTTGTTGAACCAATGTATATTTATCAAAGAATATATCAGAGAACAAGGTGGTTTTATACAATTTATTCATGGATAAGGTGGTGAAGGCACCTCGAAAATAATATTATGAAATGGAGGATTCTATTGCTAGGGTGAGGAGCTTTTAGTTTCGCTGTTTGCGTCGTCGCAATTCTCTTCGGGAGGGTCCCAATTGTGCAACTGTTTTCGCCAGAGTTTTACCATACCATCCCAACCTCTTCTACTGTATTTAGCATACTTTGGTGGTGTCTTCGGATGTTCCTTTGCACGTTCATTTCTGAGAAGTACAAAGAGATGGTATTACAATTATACTGTATATATTAACACTAGGTTTATGGACATTTCTTGTATAGCTATTTCTATGGACAGTAACTTGTAAATTTAATTTGGATATATGTTCATGACATTTCAGTAATAAGAGTTAGCAAAAATTACTATTAAACAAAATAGTAAGTTTCTGTATCCTTGCACTTGACATCCAAAACCCGACAGTACTATTAATATCAAATTCTTACTTAGGAACTGTTTGAATGTATCTTTCATATCCTATCGTGTTCTTTCCGTAGTCAATTTCCTTCTGTCTGCGCGCCAAGACTGCAGGATCAGTCTCGTACTCGACGTTCTTCTTTCCATTTCCTGAAGAAGTCGTGCTAGAGCTCGACGAACTGTTGCATCTATTTCGTGTCATCTTCTCACCCTGTGTCTCAACACTCTCCTCTCTGAACCTCTTACGGGCAGTGATGCGACGTTCCGGTATATTTTTCACATTACTTCTATATAATACCTGCATTTTACTGTCTCTGGTCTTTTTTGCCAATGGAGGGAACTCTTCGTCATCCTCTTGTACCTCCTTGCCGCCGTTGCGATATTCCACCGTAGGTCTCTTCCAACTACTGGTTATCGCTTCATCTAGAAGAGCATCCTCCTCCTGCGACAATTCTGTGGTTCCTTCCAGTCTTTCAGCCATGGTAATTAAAACGGACTGTTTATCTTACACTATTTGTAACACCTTAGAATCAACTAAATCACAATCAGCTAGCGAACGACGTCGGGAAAGTTGCCGCATGCAATATCTGAAATTTAAATCAACGCTGTTAAAAGCAGTTGAATGTTTCAGAACATTTCTGATTACACATGTGTATTAAAGTCAGGAACAGCAGCACTCGACATGAATACGCGTATACAAAAGTATTTACGCCGATAAATTCTCCCAGACGTAATAAAAAATTACTATACAAAAGACTGAAATTTATTATACATACTAAGTTTGTACACTTGTATACTAAAATTCCAAACGCGAAATTGTACACGGAATCTCCAAGTATTGTATCTTGAAAAAACTTTAACTACGTGTATAATATATTTCGAATAGATATCTTTAACAGAGAATGTTTATCCATTGTCGCTTGCGAGGGGACGTAGACTTTACTTCAAGGATTGACACTGTTCATAACCTAAAAGTGCGCCTGATATCTGCATCTAGTTCGCGCGGTGTAAAACTGAATACCTTATTGCTTTTGTACAGAGACCAGCTCGATGATATTAAAGAAACATCGATTTTTTTTTCTCATAAATTAATCCGTCAAACTTCTCATCGCCGACGCTGAACAATATTGGACTCGGAAAGCACCGCGTCCCGCGGTTTTAAATCGAACCGAAATCGAATTGAAGTCGAAACTCGGTCGACCTCGAACGACCTGAAGTAGGTCGTTTCCAACTGGTAGATGGCACCAGCTGTGAATAATTACTAGCACCTTCGGCCATTCTACTACCCGGAAATGCGCGCAACATTCAAAAGTGCAAGTCGAATATCATGTGAAATCTCGTTTTTCTCTGAATACAGAATGTAATTAAGAGAACCCGTACGGCTTACACTGCACATGATATAATGTCCTGAACTTTTCACTTAGAAATTAAATAAAAATTAAACAGTGGGTTATGAACGGTAAATTTGAAGGTAAATGAGCCGATTTATTTGTTTTTTTTTCTTTTTATAGGATACCTGGAATAAAGAATTTATTACAACTACATAACTTACGAAATATACACGTTACGTTGAATTAATAGTAATTAACTAATTGCCGTAACGCTTAGTTCGTCTGTACGATGTATTGAAAGGGGAAATTATTTATGCATCTTTGGTATTACGAGTACTCACCCTTCCGATGCACTTGACATCAATGAATTATGAATCGTCATAGCTCAATGGTCATGTACTCTGGGCAATGGTCCATGACATGGCCATAAGACGCCCAATTTTTAATAACAATTAACTCCTCCGAAGGACAAAGATCCAAAGAAACAGTCGTTAATAAAAATTGGCCGTCTTCGACATTCGCTAGCGGCAGTTTGATTGTCATTTTGATAATGCAAAGAAACGTCTTACTCAAAAATACTAACAAATACCATTTAACTTATGGGACTAACATTCCAAAATTCACTGTTAATCGAATCGTCAAGATATTAAAATTCACAATTTCTATCGATTCACTGTCACCTCACGTAGACAAGTCATTAGAATCTAGAAAATATATTCATAAATTAATACACTTCTTCTCAATAGAATTTCGCATGTGCTTAAGCTGCGTATAATTTGCATGGCGATGTGCGGAGAAATGAAAATGTCCATTTATTTATTTATTTTTTGTGAATTTTGAAACAGAGCCCACGTCATACGCTACGAAAATATGAACATAAATGTTTGAACGATTTGTTACACCGCCGGGAAAGGGAAATAATAAATGCCTTGCGGAATAAGGGCGACGTGTAGGAACTAAGTAGACACTAGGATGATTCATGTCAAAATAGAGTAGATGCATCTTGTTGGTGACTTTAACAACAAAGTCCTCGCTCGACTGCATATTCGTGTCCAACACCGAGCTACGCTATTGCATTTAATAAAACTTTAACAGTACCGCGAAATCGCCGGAAATGTACAATGGCGAACATGAATGTCTCCTGTGCAGATTTGGATATCATTCGAATGGAGATCATTGAAATAAAACTTTATTCCTTTTATTTGCAATTTGAAATATTTCGTTATTAATTGATCGAATAAATTCTTGCTCAAATGTCTTGATGATTCTCTTTTAATACTATTATATATTCGTTATTCGAATAAATTCTGCTCAGCTCTGTTTCTGTGTTACAAAATGGCGTCGGTGGTTTACGACGAGAAGGCATTCATGTTCTCCAGGATACAAGGAAATCTTGTACGAAACCCTCTAATGCGATTTAACGTGCCAGCCTCGAATCGACACAAACGTAGGAATATGTTTATATTGTTTTCCGGCTGCGTCGCTTAAAATTAAAAACGAAGGATATTAAAGAAAAGCGCGATGGCGCGCCATTCGTGAAGTGATGCTTAAGTCTATGCTTCGTATAAACATATTTACACGGTCAGTCAAATAAATATTCAGGGTTCTTGTCGGTTCTTCCCCTGGTATCTGACCACCGAGACCCGAAACGCGTTATCATGGGTCAAGTACCAGGAAAATTGGACTACAAACTAATTATACAAAATTACGATCGATGTTCAATATGAACGCTTCCGTGGGGACGCTCTCGTGTACGTCGGGTGGGTCGCTTAGAAAAATCGGGATGAAAATTCAAGGGCCACTCGGCGGGAAATATCTTCCCCTGGAAAATCTTTCGATTTCTCCTTCCTCGAGCTGAAAAGTATGAAAAACTCTCGAGGCCAGAATTCCCGCGGATAAGCCCGTGAAAGATTCCCTCACGCTTTTGGGAAAATGGCGCGTGGTGTCTCTGATAACGAGGATTAAAAGGGCTAGTAGGTTATATAAAATGGGTTTTAATCCATGTTTTACGCTTCAAAACGCATCTCACAATCTACTAGCCCCCTTAATGCTTCTTAAATAGCGGTATATATTTTTCTTTCTTTGCGAATCTTTCTTCCTTTTCTTCAGGGATGTGCCGTTCTTTCGGAGGGTCCCGTTTTTGGTTTCCCGCAAAATAAACCCGGGAGTCTTTTTCTTTTTTTTTTCCTTTTGCCTTTCTTCGGGACCTTAAAGCCTACGATGCCGTGGGACATCACGATTGGTCGCACCTATTGGCCTACAGTAAACTGTAGAGTGTTAATGTATTTTATTTTTATATATCACAGAATTCTCAATAATTTTCTCTTCCTAGCCCCCCGTCGTGGGCGGGATTTCGAAAATAACGCTACTAGGTTCTTTCTTCTCGTTTTCACCGTGGTTTTCTCTTCCCACCTCGTCTTCATATAAAAGCCGTTTATAGTCGAGTTTAGGTTCTCCCCGTACGTTAGTTACGATTAATGTGGACTTAGACTTCGCGACAGGTTTTAGCAAAATATTAAACTTTATACATATGCCTCCTATGTACATCCCCTGGCACAGGACGGGGTCCTTAAGCTAGATAACTCCTTCTGTTCAATTTCCAATCTAATTCCGACAATTATGCGGCCGAAATCTTGAGACGTCCAGTGAGTTAATTTCTCCTATTTCTCGTATTTCCATTAGATTTGCATATGGACGAGCTTAATTGACCACATAAAAAAATATTCAACTCGCCCTCGAGGATAAGAAGGCGGTCGCTTAATGATAAATCATTATTCAATTGAATCTTCTGAATCTTAAGCAGTTTCTCCAGTTTCCCTAGGATTAAACTTAGCCGCGTATAGTGACATTACTCGACATACAAGAAATGCTATATTACTTTACGCGGTTAGCTAAGTCAATTCTATGGAAAGTTAATGAATTATCGTCGACGATGCAAAAAGCTCGTTCATGGAACGTTCCAAACTCGAGCCACATAAATAATCTTATTCCTAGGTTTTATAGTCTAGCTGCTTGAAAGTCATTAAGTAGTATGTCTATACAATAGTGATCGCGGCTGAAAACCTCGAGCTCGAATAGAGGTCGGTTAATGGAAATTTCACGGAAACCTCATCATCGAGTCAGCCTTCAACCCCTTAAGGCGAAGCGAGCTCAATAAATAACGAAGTCGAAGTAGCAAACGAATTTGCACTGGTGGCAGCTCTCGATCCTGGGCCCAGGGTGGCCAAGAAGGTGGACTAGAATTCCCCGTCAAGGTGTTAAGGCGATACGAAAGTGGCCTCTGAAAGGCCTATGACACTTTTCTTCCGACTGGTTGCACGGTATCGTTTGAAATTTCTCTATATGAATATGGAGGCCCCAAGCTAAGTCCCGACACCCATGAGACCTCATTCATTTTCTTTATAATCATTTAAGAAATGTTTATAAAAATGTCACCTCCTTTAGGGTCTCCACATTCACGTGGTAAAATTTCGGACGCTTCATTCCACCCACTTCGGCGTTCATAAGCGATAGGCCCTTCGGATGCCACTTTCGTATCGCCTTAATCGGCGCGAAAGCTTTCATTTCTTCCCGCCGACAGTTCGATTCAGTTCCGTCACCCTTCCGGCCACAGATTTCTTGTTGGCGGTCATCAAGTTCCTCGTCTGGTTGTTGGCCTTGCTGGGCTCGAACTTTTGCTGCAGAGATGCGACGTTACTCTTCAGCCCGGCTGCCTTTTGCACGGGGTTGCTCTTCAGGTTGTCGCCGGTCTTTGGGTCAGGCTTTGTAGAGGTCTTCACGGTAGTCTGGCTCTTCGAGTTGAGGGAGTTCTCCTTCGCACAAAGCGCCGTGGGCGCTTTGATGAGGTTTCCATTCGAACTTACCGGGGTCTTCTTCTTCTCGGTGAAGGCCACAGCCTTGGACACTATGCTGGAGGTCTTGGGAGGCATCGACGGGGTCTTGGCACTCCTGGGGAGTGTCGGGGACTTCTGACCAACCTTGGCGTTGGTGCCCCCCAGTTTGGCGTTGGTCCCCAGGACGTCCGGGGACTTGGTGCCGGTCTGGTTCGCGTTGGAGCAGCTGGACACCAGGTCGGGGCTGTTCGAGGTGTTCAGCATCTTGCTGGGAGCTCCCTTGGGACTGCAAGGCACACTTTTCAGGGACTCTGGGGTGACTTCGAGGCTCTGCTGCTTCTCAGAGCTGGTGGACTTGGTTAGACTATCGTTGGACCGGTTTGTTGGGGTCGGCTGTTTAAAGAGTTTGGACTGGTCGCTCTTCTCTTTCGGACTAGGGTCTGATCCCTGCCTGGAGGTCTTCCCCGAAGACTCCGAAGACGACTTTGACTTCAACGAGGTGTTCGACCCCAGTCTAGAGGTCGTCGACTTGGTGGAGGCATCTGAAGTTTGCTTGGAGGTGTTCACCAAGCCTTTAGAGATGGTTGGAGGTGTCCTGGTCCTGTTCAGGGGCGGCTTCGCCGGTGCTCTACCTTCTTCCTTCGTCTCTTCGGATTTCGAATGAGAATTGCTGGTCAAGCTTCTACTCGCTCCAGATCCAAAGAACTTGCCGGGGACTCCGGAGTCCACGGGCTTCATCCCCAGCTCCCTCGACATGTCGTCGTTGACGTTAGGGTTGGTGGAGCTCAAGGAGGTCAACTTGCTCCTGTCTATCTGCTCCCCTGGCTTCGAAGTCCTCGTCGCCGCCTTCTTCTGGGAGTTACTCGAGGTCACGATGTACCCTGAAGAGCTATCGGAAGCACCTCCTAGACTCCCAGCTCCAGAATTTGGATATGTCCCTCCTGGGGACTTGTAATGGCTGGAGTTGATGTAAGTCCCGGAGCTCTTCCCCAGCTCCTCCTTCTCCCTCTTCTCCCTCTTCCTGCCGAGGGTGGAGGTCGAGTAGATGGAGTCAAAATTCCTGTTCGAGATTTCAGAGACGATCTCCGAGAGCAATCCTGTACCATCCACCGTCGCACCACCAGGAACTTCGATCTTCTTCGGTGCCTTGTACTCGTTGACGACGTTGCTAGCCTTTTTGTCGAGTTCCTTCCCCTTCTCCGGCAAGGACTCCTCTATCACCGCGTAGATGTTGTCCTGGACCGGAGACTCCTCCAGGATCTTCCCCAGGGAAGTTTCGGGGACCAGGTTCATGCAATCGTCGTACTGGTTCTCGGGTGCCTTCGGCTCCACAGCCTCCGAGTTTTGGTACCCGGAGGGATCCTTCTCTTCGCACCTTTCCAGACTCCCTGGTCCGACTTTCGGCGGTCCAGGAGGTGGAGAAGTGGGTCTGATGCTCGCTGGGATGCTGATGGGCCTTTTTACAGGATTTGCCTGCCTCATGGAACCGAAAGTATGAATCGCCGGCCTGGCGCTGCTCTTCGAGTCCCTCATGCTCTGTGCTCTCATCACCACGTTCCTCTTATCCTCGGAACTACTCTTCCCAGGACTCAGGGGGACAACGGGGATCGCCGGAGTGGGAATCTCGATCTCCGTCTGCGGGATCGGGTTGGAGATCTCCAGGTTCCTCAGGATCTCCTTGTCCAACACCTTACTAGCCTTGTGGTGTTGGCTCCTCGGCAGGGAATTCGTGTTCTTCTCCTCCCTGGATGCTGGCTGAGAGATAGATCTGGTGATCCCCGAATTGGGACGCAAAATCGAAGCTATCCTGTTCAGGGCGATGATGCCCTTGTCCAGCTTCTTCTCTGGCTCTGGGATGATCAGGTTGGTCAATGGGGTACTGTTTGGCCGGGGTGGCTTTAGGGGGGCGTACGATGTAGCTGACGCATCCGGAGGAGTGCTGTTCGGGATTTCTGGGGCTGGTCTTACGGGAACTTTTGCTGCTATCAGCTCCATTGATGTGCATGTCGTTGCTGCCAGCACCGGGCTGCTTATCAGGGGTCTTGCTGTGCATCCTGGATTTAATGGCGGTAATGCTGGAGGCGTTAGGGTGGGCAACCTGGGGGAGGTTTTACCAGGTGATGGCAGGTTACCGCGGAGGGTGTTGCTGCGCTGCATCGGCTTCAGGTTCGTTTTTATCGCTATTGTTGGCATGTTGGGGGTTGTTGTAGCTACGGGTTTCGACTCGGGCTTCGATGGACTCATTATTGGCGCGAAACCCTTGAATTGCCCGAAGAAGTTGTTGTTGAAGCGCTCGTCGTTGTCCTCGGGCAGCAGACTCGCGCAGGCCGAGTCCTGGCTCAGACCCGAATCGATCGTTCGGATGTTTCGATGGATCGGGGTGGAACGATCGATCGTCTTGATCGGGAGACCCCCGGATCCGCGGTCCAGCCTGGAAATGGAAATTCGAGCGATTTTAAGCAGGGGAGAGGTCAGGTGAGGCGCGACCTAGAGCTGCGAATTGTGGAGCCGTGAACTCTGCTAGTTACATTTTCCGTCAATCAGGGAAATCTAATTGTCGTGTTCCGGGTGGAATTACCCCTCTTCAAGACCTCCTTCGGCGAGAATTTTTTTTTTCTCGGTAACTTTCAATTATTAGACAACTATTCGAGGAGCTACTTTCGTGAATCATGTGCGACCTTTGCAAATCGCGCGAGAGACTGGACATTTTTTTAAAGGATTTTTTTTTCTTTATAAATTTTGCAATTTCGAAATAGGGTAATAATTACTCCAAAAATCCAATTTCATAAATGATATGCCAGTTTCGTAAATTGAGAGGCTTTGGACATTTTGAACAGGGGTATTTGTTGGCAATTTTTAATTGCAGTAAATACGATCGCATGACTTGACGAGCTATTTTTACGAATTATGTAGGATTAATAATCGCGAATGTGGATTTTTAGTATGTTGATGTGTTATTTTCAAATGATGGAACTGATTACGGCATTACAACTTTTATGTCATTTTCGGCGATTTGTTAGACGTATCTAGTGCCTCCATTTTATTTGAATTATTCTAAGTCTAATTGAACGACATTTCGATGTAATAATTGTGAACCGTGTACTTTGAAACAAAGATTATCTAATATCGCGGATTTTCCTATTACTCACATGCTTTGATGAAACGATGAAAAATTTAAAAAAAAAATGAGTAAGTGACGAAAATGCAAAAAAGTTTCATAACTTGCACCGAGAAAGGGGTCCAATAAATGCAAATATCCTTAGACTACATTGACCAACATCTACAAGCGCACTTAATCGGCATGCACATTTGTATTAATAAATGATTAATAATAGTCTGCAATAATTCTAGGTAAAAAGGTCATACATCATCCTATAAATTTTCCATGTAAGCTCGACGACCGAGAAACAATTATTGCTCCGTAAAAATAATTACGCAACCACTAATCACCAGCCGATACTATAGTGACACTAAATGAATGAACTATTAAATTTAATGTTATTATTTCCACCGTAACATTGCATATGTCGCGCCACAACTTTTAGTTATCACAAAAGGAAGTAAATCATGCAGTTTAGAGTGAGGTCGGAATTTTTCTTGGTGCAAAGGGAATTGAATACTTTCCAGTTGATTTTCCTTCGTGAATTTCCACGGAGTAAGCAGCGAGGAAGTGTTAGTAAATGTTTAAAAAATTTTAGTAGCAAGCTGCGGAGAATAGGAAGATCACACTGATCACACAAGGAGAAACAGAACTAGTCTCAATCCGTATCTAATTTTATTGCATACAATGTACAGTGGCTTTGTCGTTAAACTAGAAAAAATTCATGTCGGTCCTATCCATTAATCGGAAAGTGAGTCTAGCGGCTGAATTTGGCATAAACGTCGCAAAAATATATATCAATTTGGAAACCGTTTCGCAGTGGACTTTCCAAAAATATCGAAAAAAAAAAAAAAACACCCCTCTCAGCCCAGTACAATCAAACACAAAGATTCACCTAATCGAAGGTCGTGCATTTCATGCACATCAGGACTTGCACATGCTCATGCAACTACGTTCATTGTCTCTCTTTTTTTTCATTTCTGCCTTTCCTCGAATTTCAACATTTCATTGCGAGATACATGAAAATAATTATTAACAATATCGTAATTGCCTTTTATTGCACGGATAGATATTGCACGAAACGGAACTCTTAATTGAATGTACATCCCTTTTTTTTAGCTCTTCGTGCAATGGTCCCGTTAAGTGACTGAGCCTTGCTTAATTCTTAAAAAAATAAATATAAAAAAATATGAGTATGTACACGAACGTGCCTATATCATTCGTTGCTTATTATGTAATTACTTATTATTGTAATAGTTATACAACGTGCAGAACACGTGGGACTTTCTTAATATCTGCTCTGCCGCGTCGTTAAGAACACGTTATTAAAATTATTAACAATATCATACTCGTACCTATGATTATGACTCGTTGCTGAGATAGTGCAATCAGATCACAGTGTACATTGGTAAAAGTGGCGGCACTTTGTTTTTTGTTTTTTTTTTTTTTAATTCTTTGCAAACTTCGCGAAACGAAAGTGATCCCTCCCTCTTGGCGTCGTTATTATTTAGGCAATTTATCTTGTATATCGTACAGCAATTATATCCGTTATTAGGATAATATGTATGTATTTACAATTACGCATTCTGCGTGAGATTATTCAATTTATGGAATGGCAGGTTCAGCTGTACATTAATTGCGATTCAGTCGAACGTTTCTCGCACTTTATTGAGCACTTATTTCCGAGAAATCAAATTTGTTGAATGTTTAAGAATATATCTTTTTAAGATATTTAAAGTGCCGTCAAAAATGAGCTTTCATTAATTCGATAAATAATTTACGAAGAAGGAGAGCTTTACCAAATATCGATCATAGTTTCTGCTAATTGTTCATCTATGCATGTCTTTTTTAATACTGTATATGTTAATACTTTTCCAATGGGAATGGCTTTTTCTGAATCTGATTGGCAGATTTGAAGGAAAGAATACGAACAAAATATTTGAAAATGGTTATTTCCAAGATACGTTGATTAATTGATTTTCATTTTATCGAACTAGGCTTTTGCATATCTTACTTAAATTCAAATCTGTACTTTACAATAAAAAAAAAACATGTCTTCCCAATGTAGCTTATTATCCTAGGAAATAGATTCTCGATTACTCTGTTTTTAAGTACACAATTCACAAGTACATCTTCCCCTTAATTACTTAACGATGTTACATATTAAGTAACGAGAAGACACGTCTAAAATTTTGGTTTCAAGCTCTGCGTAGATTTAGGGGGTGGCGGAGGTTTCTTATCACAGAAAGTGGGCTTAAGTTTCACCTTATCACTGGCCAAAAACTTGTCCCCAACTATTCTGGATGGAGTCGACAATGCTTCAGACATTTTTGGTTAATTAACTTTAAAACAAGGAGAAGAAAAAAGTGTCTAAAATTTTGGTTTTAAGCTCTGAGCAGGAGCAGGAGGTGGCGGAGGTTTCTTATCATAGAAAGCCACAGTGGGCTGCGGTTTCGCCTTATCACTGGCCAACAGATTGTCCCCAGTTTTCGGGCTGGAGTCGCCAGTACTGCAGGGACTCTCGACCAAGTGCTCGAACAGACCCTGAGTCCTCAGGGTGAGTCCCTTGAAGTTCTTCAGGGTAGACCCACCCTGCAGCTGATTGATCTGTTCAGCAATTTTCGAGCTGAGCTCCTTCTTAGGCGGCCCTGTGTTTTTCGTTTTGGCCTCCGCCCCCCTCGAAGCATCTAATTCGCCCTCGGGGGACATCTTGCTCTTGCTCTTAAGCTCTTTAATTATCGAGCCTAACTCTTTCTTCGGCAGGTCATCGATCCTCGGAGATGGCTCCGCTTTCGAGGATACGTTCGACTGAAACCGCGATTCGGGTGCCTTGGGAGGGTTCGATTTCCCTTCGCTAATTTGCGCGGATTTCCTGGCTTCTAAGCTGCTGCTGCAATTTATTGCATCGGGATTCGTGGTCGATACTAGGTCTGCCTTCGTTATCTGCAGTTTCTCCCTCTTGGGGAGACCGTCACCTATCGTGAACAATTTGTTCGCGTTTCGGGACGTGCCCCTTCTGGGGCCGAAGACGATGAGGACTCGTCCGAAGAAGTTACTACTCTTCGAGGATTTGGGGACACCCAAGTGCCCACTGAGGCCCCGGGTCCTCGATTTCGATTCGAAACAGTTCAGACTAGATACGTACGCTGACATGGGTCCTTTCTTCCAGTACCGACTGGCATTGTTTCTGGTGTACCAGACACCAAGAGCCACCAGGGCTATCGTGGGGATCACGCCCAGGAAGACGATGTACAGGGCCGTTATAAAGTCGGTCCTCGCTGCAAGAAGCAGAATAAGACTAAGTGTTAACGAGGCACACCCTTCGTAATCGATTTAAAGAAAGTAGAGCAAGAAGCGTTCTCCTTTTAGGGAATTTCGGCATTTTTTTTTTTTTTTCTACGTAGGATTCGATAGTGCTTCGTTTATCTTCAGTACCATTAGGGTCCTCGGCAGGTCCGCTGTCCTCGGATCCGCCGATTCCTGGCTGGGTGCAATCCGGTGGACGGAAGCCGTGATTGCAATGGCAGTGACCAAGACTGTTGCACACCCCGTTACCGCTGCAATTGTTCGGGCAATTCTTGCCTCCGGACACGGAAGCTCGCAAGTCACCAACGGGCAGGCATTTCTGATTGACGCACATCTAGATGGAGAACGAAAATTGATCCATAAATTTCAGACATTATCGATGATCGATACCAATGATTCTTTCCTGTCAGAACCCTGTTAGCAATTTTCTTTGTACATTTATTGCTATCGTTAACCTCTATGCCACGTGTTTGTTAACGAGCTTCTCAATGTATAACTTATACTAGCCTTTCCGGGTGCGCACTTTGCCCCGTCAGGAGCCAATCCTGGATCCACCTGATTCAGTCCTAGGTCAACAATAGCAGACCGGCAGGCTATGATTTTCCCTCCATTGTTAATAAAAGAGTGGCTGAGAATAGCCACGGACTCCATGCCGAACTCGAGCCTCTCGTTCAGATGTTTACAGTGCAGCATGCCGCACAAAAGATTCCTGCAACACATAATCGGTAATTAAACCACTCCACTCGAGCGTTGAATTCCAAAAAGAATGACAAACGGAGCACGTACTCGTCCTCGCACTTGAAGTAGCTCAGGTTCGTCCGGTTGTATCCGCAATTCCCATACTTGGTGCCTTTGTTATTCATGTCGTAACACTGAGCAGCCGACGAGGTGCCAGTAGGTCCCCATAGCAGCTTGCATTGGTCATTGTGGGTCCTGCAGGACCCCTGATAACAGAAGGCTTTCCCCATGCTGCAGGTCTCTCCGTCCATCTTGAAGACGTCCGATGGACAGTATTCGCTCTGCCCTGTGCAGTACTCCGGAAGGTCGCACTCGTGCTCGGCAGATCTGCACTCGGTCCCTGCAGTTTTCGGCCTGCAGGTCTTCAGGTCGCAGCATTCCCCGGTCGCACAGCTGGCATTCGCGTACAACATGCAAATCGTCGCATTGCAGCAGGGGTTGTCGCAATTCTCCTTGAGGCCGCAGTCGCATTGTTCCCCGGGCTCCACGAAGCCGTTCCCGCACATGGGGCTGTCGAACAACTTCTGAGGCTTGTTCCTGAGACAGTAGTCCATCCCGTGGACGAAGGCCAGAGCTAGGTACTCCAGGGAACAGGAGGACCAATGAACGGGCCCGAAGGACCCGCTCGAGGGCGCCATTATGCATCTTTCTTCGGGACAGTCGCAGTCGGTGGAGTCGTGCTCCATCCCAAAATTGTGCCCCATCTCGTGGGCCACTGTTGCTGCAACCAGACCCACCACGTCCGAGTGGTCCATGGCTACTCCACCGGAGAATTTGTACGTGCAGATGGGCCCTTTCAGGGCCTTGCCCACGACGCCCCCCTCGAACTGCGACCCCCTGTAATTGGAAAAACGATATCATATTTTCGGAGCTGATCATAGACGTTAGAAGAGATTATCCTCCACGTACTTTTGCTTCTACGGTTTTTCTGAGATATACAGGTTATCCGCATTTTTTATTCGAGGTATTTTTTTTTTTTTCACCGTCAACGAAGAAGGTCGACATTATTCGACTACCACGCAATGTCATCTAACCAAAGAAATATTCTGCTAACTCGAAGAATAATTATTTCACTCGAATAAATTGGACGCAACGTTTATTCGGAATTGTGACAATTTATTTCTTTGGTTCTATCCATTTATTTTTGGTTTGCTCAGTGCAGGACAGCCGTTAACAATGGGAACATATATTGTTAGGATTTGTACTAACGTTAGGAGCTGAGCATTGTCGTTCGGGATTCTGTTGGCGAGTCTTTCTCGACGATATCGAAGGAACGATTCGAGGGTCGTATCTCCATTTGGTACTACGGAAATTTCGTCTATATCTGACCAAACTTCTACGCCGATTAGAGCGACGAAAATATTGAGCGGCATATACAACTGCAAGAGAACAAGAATGCAGGGGAAAAAATGCTGTTAGAAATCTTCATAAAATCGATACACTTCCAATACACAATTTGGAAGTAATATTTCTCGACACGATTAACATCGTTAGAACTGTCTTTCTTTATGAGTCATAACGACTAAGAGGTAATTACGACTTACAGCGTTAATGAGGTTGGCTATGTCCTTGCAGTGTTGATAGACATTGTCTAAATTCTGTTCGAGTGCGGAGTACTCCGTTTTGTCGACCACCATGACCAATTCTACATATCTCGACTGTCTATTTGCATTATAAGGCCCCCTTATAACTTCTGCTGCTTCTCTTTTAAACTGAAAAAAAGTAAGGTTCATATTACATAAAAAATGCCTCACTCATTACAACGCGTCGACTTTTAATTTTTTTTACACGTTTCCTGTATAGAGTGAACTCCGTAAATATGATTGGATTTAACGTTCGTTCGTTTAACTGAGCTTCCCGTTGAAATGTTTTATGTTACCAAATGAAAAAGGAACTATGGCAAATCGGATCTCACTGGAATCGAACTATGATTCTTTCCGTGCATTCGTCGGGGTCTTTTCCAGGTTTTCATGCAATTCCAATTTCCCCCGAAATCCCGAGGGAATAAAAGAAAAAAGGGACATTCCAATTATTTCTAGGGGCGAATATATAACTATACGTCCCCATCGATTCCAAGATATTCCAGGCGCGGGATCGGAATTAATCCAAACGGCCCGAGAATTTAGGTGCGTCAAGCTAGCACGGCAACATCCCAGTTCACGATTTCTGAATACAGAGGAATTATGTGCTAATTATGTGCTAATTTTGTGCTGAATTAATTAATTTTGTACCCCCACCATTTTTTCGAAATTTGAAATTTCAGTGTGGCCGTGCTAGCTTGACGTCAAGC